TTCTTCATCTCCACTTTTCCAAGCCTAGAGAGAATGCTGCCATGTCCACTTTCTCAATTTTTTACAATTTTCTGCTCTGAATTCGGATTCAGAACTCTTTCGATTTGAAACATTGTCGATTCACTTTTGCTTGCAATTTCCTACGAATTTGCTCTTACACACAGCATTAAATTCTTCCAGTGAGAAATACATCTTTAGTACTTCCATTGAACTTTGTTTTGTTTAATCAATCGCGTAATTGGTACAATAATTATTTTTAGCACAAATACCTTATACTTGCATATAAATGTTTCTTATAGACTGGATGGAGAGCCGTCTACAGCCCTGATTACATCTTCATATTATTTATAAAGATAAATGGAAAAATTGGTATTCATTTTCTCCAATCTTACTTGCACTTTCCCCATTGTGAATGAGGTATATAAATAGCCCTATATAGACCCAAATGAGATGTTAGATTTTGTTCGGCTAGAGGATTCAATATAATGGCATACACAATCAGCAACAATTATGGTATGACAGACTCATCATCAATATAATATGGACATATATCTAAATGAGTTGTGTGTTTAAAGTGAACATTCACTGACAGGTTGAACCATGTGGCACCACACAGATAATCACTTGTTTACCAATAGTTTGTCTTTAAACTCAGCCTCCAACTGTTCTTGGTGAATAGCATAGTGAGTAAGCCTCTGGGTTATCAGTGACCGACGCAAAGACAAGCACTAACGCAATAATTATAGTTTAGTACTTACACAAATTCCATCCTAACACAAGTAGTGTAAGAAGACACAAGTCGGGGCCATTTTGTTTTTTTTCAGCGGCCCCTACTTGTGTCGTGCGTTTTTCGTTACCCTGGTGAACTGGTCAAGTCTTTTTTTTCAGCGGCACCTACTTGTGTCGTGTGTTTTTCGTTACCCAGGTGAACTAGTCAAGTCATTTTTCAGCGGCCCCAACTTGTGTCGTGTGTTTTTTGTTACCCTGGTGAACTGGTAAAGTCTTTTTTTTCAGCGGCCCCAACTTGTGTCGTGTGTTTTTCGTTACCCACTGTGAACTGGTCAAGTTTTTTTTTTTTTTAAGTGGTCCCGACTTTTGTCGTGTGTTTTTCGTTACCCCGGTGAACTGGTCAAGTCTTTTTTTTTCAGCGGTCCCGACTTGTATCGTGTATTTTTCGTTACCCCCGTGAACTGGTCAAGTCTTTTTCTTTCAGCGGTCCCAACTTGTGTCGTGCGTTTTTTGTTACCCTGGTGAACTGGGCTGTGTCCTACAAGTCCTCATTCCAAACTTGCCCTCCTAATAGAGTCACAATTTGACGTATTCTCAACATAAGGCCAAATAAACGTCGAACTAGAAAATTTAAGTGGCTCGCGAAACTGTCATACTATCTCGTTTTCGGTTTTGGGTCCTCTGTTAGGTTAGGATAACGACACTTTATGACGACCGTTTCTTGACGTTGGGAAACCTTAGGGGGACGTTCTGCATGCACACAGCTCGCGGAAGGTCTGAATAGCTGGTCGTCATCAACAGACCTGTAGAAGTCGTGCTGGTCCTTTTTTACAACGACCACACATGGTGCCTAGTACAATTTGCCCATACCAGCACAGGTCACCAAAACCAACTGATCTTCACAATTTTCGATCTTGTAGACCTCGTGGTGGTTCTCTCTACAACAACCGCACGTTATATCTAGTAGACCAAACACGTGGTAGTTATAGTAGACTGACACTCATACGTGAATTGTGCTAGGAGGAGTGTGGAGCACAGAGCGGTGTTGGTGGGTCACGTGAACACCAAGAAGCAAAGGGTTCAGACACGGATCTTGGTCTACATGCGCGGCTGGTCACTGGTTCAAGCAACAGAGGGGTGACTACAGTCTTCAAACTTGCGTTTGAAGGCCATTCACCTTCAGATTAACTATGATGTCGCTTCTGGACTTCACACAACATTCACTATACAGGCGGCTTAGATACTGCATGATCAACAGGACTACATTCGTGACAGTCCTGTTGCATCTGGATGTTCCATCACGATGTCTTGCACAGCCCCTCCACTTAATTCATGAAAATAATTACACTGCGGATTCTGGCTGCCTGCAAGAATTTTTCGACTGATTTGGGCACTCGTTAATTTTCCTAAGAACTTAAACATGCTGTTTGTAGTAAATGGCCGGTAACAGAGAAGCACATGAGTCTTATGCCTCGATTTTTTGATACCTGCTTGATACCTGCTTGATGGGGTTCTAAAAGTTCTTCTACTCCCCAAGCCCGGCCCGAGACCAGGCTCGACTTGTAAGAGTTTGGTCCACCAGGCTGGCTAGGAGTGGAAGCACCGCCAATATAGTCAGTTTCAGCTTTGTCTCTGAGGTTAGCCAATCAGCAATGTTTGGCTACTTCTAGACTTACTGGTGCATCACAGACGCATCCATGGTCACGTGGGTGTGTGACTTCATGACAACATTACTGAACCCAGAGGCGAGCGCTGCCAGTGACCTGACCCAGCCCGTCCTCCAAAGACCCAACAGTGATTCCATCCACCCGCCAAACCCCCTGTTTATGAATGAAAAACGGTTTACACACGACTCACAACTGATTTCGTTCGAACACTTCCGGAACAAGTGTTTCGCTGACGAATTTGGTTCGAACCACAACACTATAAATGCTACACCCACGTACTACAAATACAAATAATCACTAACAGAACCTAAACACCTAACCTAACCTAACCTATTCCTATATGTGCTCAATATGCTAATATATTATCAGGTTAATTTATATTTAAGAAAACTCCTGTTTTGAATGGAAAGCATATTAATTAAAATTCATGAATGCGTCTGTGGGGTCGACCGCTGGATGTAATGGACTTGAGTCGAGGACGGGTTGAATCACAACGCTGTAAACGCTTCACCCATTTCTACAAATACAAATAATCGCCAACAAAACCTAAACACCTAACCTAACCAATGCCTATATATGCACAATATGTTAATATATTATAATATTAATTTATATATGAGAAAATTCCTGTTGTGAATGAACAGCATGAAAAAAATTATGAATGCGTTTGTGGGGTCGACCAATGGATGTAATGAACTTGAGTCGAAGACGGGTTGCCTGACCTGTAATCCTCCGTGTGCTGCCCTGCATGACCTGACCTGTATTGACCCGTGTGCTGCCCTGGGTGACCTGACCTGTATTGACCTATGTGCTGCCCTGGGTGACCTGACCTGTATTGACCCGTGAGCTCCCTTAGGTGACCTGGCCTGTATTGACCCGTGTGCTGCCCTGGGTGACCTGACCTGTATTGACCCGTGTGCTGCCTTGGGTGACCTGGCCTGTATTGACCCGTGTGCTGCCCTGGGTGACCTGGCCTGTATTGACCCGTGTGCTGCCCTGGGTGACCTGACCTGTATTGACCTATGTGCTGCCCTGGGTGTGTAATGACCCATATGCTGCCCTGGGTGACCTGACATGTAATGACCCATGTGCTGCCCTGGGTGACCTGACCTGTAATGACCCATGTGCTGCCCTAGGTGACCTGACATGTAATGACCCGTGTGCTGCCCTGGGTGACCTGACCTGTAATGACCCGTGTGCTGCCCTGGGTGACCTGACCTGTAATGACCCGTGTGCTGCCCTGGGTGACCTAACCTGTAATGACCCGTGTGCTGCCCTGGGTGACCTGACCTGTAATGACCCGTGTGCTGCCCTGGGTGACCTGACCTGTAATGACCCGTGTGCTGCCCTGGGTTGATCTGACCTGTAACGACCCGGGTGCGGCCCTGGGTGACCTGACCTGTAATGACCCATGTGCGGCCCTGGGTGTGTAATGACCCATATGCTGCCCTGGGTGACCTGACATGTAATGACCCATGTGCTGCCCTGGGTGACCTGACCTGTAATGACCCGTGTGCTGCCCTGGGTGACCTGACATGTAATGACCCGTGTGCTGCCCTGGGTGACCTGACCTGTAATGACCCGTGTGCTGCCCTGGGTGACCTAACCTGTAATGACCCGTGTGCTGCCCTGGGTGACCTGACCTGTAATGACCCGTGTGCTGCCCTGGGTGACCTGACCTGTAATGACCCGTGTGCTGCCCTGGGTTATCTGACCTGTAACGACCCGGGTGCGGCCCTGGGTGACCTGACCTGTAATGACCCATGTGCGGCCCTGGGTGACCTGACCTGTAATGACCCGTGTGCTGCCCTGGGTTATCTGACCTGTAACGACCCGGGTGCGGCCCTGGGTGACCTGACCTGTAATGACCCATGTGCGGCCCTGGGTGACCTGACCTGTAATGACCCGTGTGCTGCCCTGGGTGACCTGACCTGTAATGACCCGTGTGCTGCCCTGGGTTATCTGACCTGTAATGACCCGTGTGCTGCCCTGGGTGACCTGACATGTAATGACCCGTGTGCTGCCCTGGGTGACCTGACCTGTAATGACCCGTGTGCGGCCCTGGGTGACCTGACCTGTAATGACCCGTGTGCTGCCCTGGGTTATCTGACCGGTTATGACCCGTGTGCTGCCCTGGGTGACCTGACCTGTAATGACCCGTGTGCTGCCCTGGGTGACCTGACCTGTAATGACCCGTGTGCTGTCCTGGGTGACCTGACCTGTTATGACCCGTGTGCTGCCCTGGGTGACCTGACCTGTAATGACCCGTGTGCTGCCCTGGGTGACCTGACCTGTAATGACCCGTGTGCTGCCCTGGGTGACCTGACCTGTAATGACCCAAACAGGCGTTCAGCAACAAAGGCTTGTCCAGCTACATGAATATTCATGAACCTTATCCACACGAACCATTTCTCTACCTGTTCCGTGCATGTTTCAACATATTCTCTGCTTGTTTCAATGAATTCCTCCATGTTTGCACAGTGCCTACATACTTGAAAATGCTAATACTAAGAGAAAATGGCACTAAGTCCGTCCGGCCTTTCCAGACGAAATAGCAAGAAGTTTAATTCATAAAGAGAAAAAGAAGATGAGTGGAACTGCAAAATGGAAAAGGAGGAGACGTGAATAGAAATTGATATGAAGGAAGGGAAGTGAACCCAATGGAGAACCGAGTGGAGAAAGACTGTAGAGAGAGAGAGAGGTGGATTTGAAGGTGAAAAGGGGAAAAGAACGGGAAAGTAAGGGAATTGGAGCATGGGAAAAGGGAGCAAGGTGATGGTGAAATAGAGGAGTACGAAAAGAAAATGTAGAAGGGGGAGAAAGAGGAATTAGTGATGTAAGTTGATTATAAAAGTGAAAGAGAAAGTTGAGTGACTCACTTAACGGAAAGGTAAATCTCTCTCTCTCTCTCTCTCTCTCTCTCTCTCTCTCTCTCTCTCTCTCTCTCTCTCTCTCTCTCTCTCTCTCTCTCTCTCTCTCTCTCTCTCTCTCTCTCTCTCTCTCTCTCTCTCTCTCTCTCTCTCTCTCTCTCTCTCTCTCTCTCTCTCTCTCTCTCACAGTCTCATTTTCCTCCCCGAAGTCATTCAGATCTCTCCCGCCTCCGCGCTCGTCCACATAATTCCTCTACAGCAAGTCCATTTATATTTTACTGAGAATTCTTTATTCAGAAGCAGCTTGGGTCTGCCTTCAGACCCGGGCACACAGCGCTTCCCTCAGATCACAATATAAACCTCAATACACCCCGGTACATAGACCAACGCTCACTCAAACATACATATATAAATCCATGTAGAAATGTACACATGAACTTTACATACATGCATGCATGTATAGATAATAACATATGGATTTGATTTAAACACAGAGCGACTTATGTATGCGAACGCACATACACGCACACATGTGGAAAACAGTCGCAATAATGTTTGTCGTTCGAGCACACACAGGTAACTAACCAACAAAACAATTGGCAAACTGATAATCTATTTTACGAATTTGCTAACAAACAAAGGGAAGACTCAGCAACGGGTTTTGAGATTTGTTTTCCCATCTGAAAACCAGGTGAAGAAAACGACTGTCTAACTGAAGTTTTAACGAATCGTCGTTAAAATTCAGTGAATTCTACCCTCTGTCAGACACATTAACCAACATTCTCAATCGACTTGAGAATGGTCCAGGAGGGACCGAAACGTCGTCGTCCCTTCACCTTCTAGTGTATGGTCTGGTCAAAATTAACCAACCAGGTTACTGACTGGTAAAACTGACAGAATGATAAGATAATTGGCTAACAAACTGCTTGGCAAACCAAATGAAACTTTGTCATATCAACCTCTAGACTGACCAGCCAGTCAGCAGGCTGGTTATGCAAAGGACTGAACTGGGCAACAACTTACATAATGGACAGAATATTAGTTCATCATTCAACTAATTCAATTACCAAATTGACTGACTTGCTATTCATTACAATATCTGACACCTCGACTCATTAAGTATTTAGATGATACATTGTCTGGCTGTCTTAATAATAAAACATAATTAATTCACTGATGAGTAGAATATTTGAGTAAAAAATAGAGTGGTAAATTTAATAACAATGTTGCTCATATAAAAACTAAATCTTTATCTACTTGATTGAATAATCAATTTATTGACTGACAAAGTTGGCCTGATTGACTCTTTGAATGGTTTACCTAAAGACTCACCTGTTAACCAACTGGTAATCTGACAAACTCAGACACATTGGCACAGCAGAATCTCAGAGTGAAGGAATAATAACCTGGTTAAACACTTTCTTCAAGTGTCCTCGGAGACATTTATCTTCTTAAGTATTATACTTCCACTTACCTTTTCATCTTTTGTCCTGTCCAAAATTTTTCTTACCTTCAGGTTATTTATTCCAGACTAAGAAATTCTCGTTTTTTTGAGACGTTGGTTTAAATTGCTTCATTCAGCCTCTGTTCATCCTTTTCACAGTCTTTCTTTTAAATTTCCTACGCCGCAATTATGGCCTTTGTTTCATTTCTCAAGTTAAAAATATAAAGAGTTTTTATGTTACGCTTTTAGCATCTACAGTTGTAAATTTTTGTGGTTGTAAAGCTGTTTATTTACTTAGTTCCATGTTTATCTTTCTTTACCACGTGTCTCTTCCTACTTCTTAGGAATTTATATCATTGTATTGAATTACTATTGATCTAAAAAAAATTAATGAAAAACTACAAATTTACAAAGAATAAGAATAACAAGCTAACCATCTATTGACAGCATTATTGACACACTACCCATCTATTGACAGCATTAGTTAAAGATTACCCATCTATTGACAGCATTAGTGACACACTACCCATCTATTGACAGCCTTAGTTAAAGATTACCCATCTATTGACAGCATTATTGACACACTACCCATCTATTGACAGCCTTAGTTAAAGATTACCCATCTATTGACAGCATTAGTGACACACTACCCATCTATTGACAGCCTTAGTTAAAGATTACCCATCTATTGATAGCATTAGTGACACACTACCCATCTATTGAAAGTATAATCACACACTGTCCATCTAATGACAGCATTACTCACACACTATCCCTCTATTAACAGCATTAATCATACACTATTACTCTATTGAGAGCATTAATCACACACTAATCCTCTATTGACAGCATTAATCACACACTATCCCTCTATTGACAGCATTAATCACACACTATCCCTCTGTTGACAGCATCAGTGACACACTACCCATCTTCTGACAGCATTAGTGACACACTACCCATCTACTGACAGCATTAGTGACACACTACCCATCTACTGACAGCATTAGTGACACACTACCCATCTACTGACAGCATTAGTGACACACTACCCATCTACTGACAGCATTAGTGACACACTACCCATCTTCTGACAACATTAGTGACACACTACCCATCTTCTGACAGCATTAGTGACACACTACCCATCTTCTGACAGCATTAGTGACAAACCATCCATCGACCAACAGTACTAATGACAGACAACACATCTGCTGACAGCATTAATGTCACACTACCCACCTACAGAGAGTAGTAATGCCTTCCCAACTACTGATTGTTATAATGACTAATTACCCTACAAATAACTACTCTAATGACTTACTAACTAGCTAAGAAGCTAAGTAACTAGCAAAGTTCCTTGGTAAGAGGCTAAGTAACTAGAATGGTGGGGAGGATATATATATATATATATATATATATATATATATATATATATATATATATATATATATATATATATATATATATATATATATATATATATATATATATATATATATATATATATATAGAAGTTTTTCTATATATATATATATATATATATATAGAAGTATTCTCTTTTCACTTCTATTCATATATATATGAATAGAAGTGTTTGTAGAAAGCCTATTGGTCCATATTAGTATATATATATATATATATATATATATATATATATATATATATATATACCTCTAGCTGGAAGAAGGGGGACCTATAGCCTCGGAGGAAACCACGCATAACGCATTAGAGGGAATGTTTAGATCCCCTCCAATACAGTTTCTGTGTGCTTTTCTCCTACCACCCCCTTCCTTTTTTATTTTTTGTGCTTTATTATGCATTTGATGGTTACAAGATATACATGGGTTGATACAAAAATAATAATGCAAAAAGGTGCTTAAAGGTTATGGATCTCTTGAAAAACACAACAATGGGAAACATTGATGAATGTCACAGACGGGTTCGATCATTGTTGCAAGTCAAACACTTCTTCGAATTCCTCTGAAGTTGGACTAGTGCCCAAGACGCAACAGGCATTTCCCCTCTGAATCGCAACATTGAGGCGCTGGAACAAGAAACTTTTTGTTTCTTGTATATAGAAATTTATATATATATAATTTATATATATATAATTATAATTATATATATATAAATTTATATATATATAATTTGTGTATATATATAATATATATATATAATTATATATATATATATATATATATATATATATATATATATATATATATATATATATATATATATATATATATATATATATATATATATATATATATATATATATATATATATATATATATGTCGTACCAAGTAGCCAGAACGTACTTCTCAGCCTACTATGCATGGCCCGATTTGCCTAATAAGCCAAGTTTTACTGAATTAATATATTTTCTCTAATTTTTTTCTTATGTAATGATAAAGCTACCCATTTCATTATGTATGAGGTCAATTTTTTTTTTATTGTAGTTAAAATTAACGTAGATATATGACCAAACCTAACCAACCCTACCTAACCTAACCTAACCTATCTTTATAGGTTAGGTTAGGTAGCCGAAAAAGTTAGGTTAGGTTAGGTTAGGTAGGTTAGGTAGTTGAAAAAACATTAATTCATGAAAACTTGGCTTATTAGGCAAATCGGGCCTTGCATACTAGGTTGAGAAGTGCGTTCTGGCTACTAGGTACGACATATATATATATATATATATATATATATATATATATATATATATATATATATATATATATATATATATATATATATATATATATATATATTAGTATATTTTGGTAGCAGTCTTTCCTGTAGACATATATTATTAAATATGACCGAAAAAGTAAGATTAATAATTCTAACACGAATTTTCTCAATCTTTCGTACATTTCGCTTCACTGTTGGAGGTAAATCAAAAATCAATTCTCCAAAATTCATTTTTATTTCTAGTCTGACGCGACACGAGCGCGTTTCGTAAAACTTATTACATTTTCAAAGACTTTAGTTCACAAATACACAACTGAATAGAACTTACGCATCTCCGATTTTATATCTACATTTGAGTGAGGTGGAAGGGGTGATGTGGCATTAACACAAGACAGAACAAAATGTGGTATTAATAGGGTATTAATTTCATCAACACAAGACAGAACAAGAGTATTAATAGGGTATTAATTTCATCAACACAAGACAGAACACGAAACAATGGATATTGAATAGAAGTGTTTGTAGAAAGCCTATTGGTCCATATTTCTTGATGCTTCTGTCTTGAGGTGGGTAGAATATAGTTGTGCAATAATTGGCTGTTGATTGCTG